TTTTGAATCAAATTGCCAAAAATGGACTGCTTTGCCAGATACAAAGTCGCCACCTAAATATTTTGTTTTGGAAAATTTAGGAAACCCATGACTCGTGCCAAAGGCCACGTGTTCGTCATCACCAAGATTGTCTCAGCTCGAGAACTTAGGTACAAGAGGGGAAGGTCATAAATTGAGCAACCTGCTCACCCAATCAAAGATTAGCCTCTACTAATCATGATGTGATTTTTATTTACATTATATGCTCTTGTTCCAATTATTAGGCTAGCATTACTATGTGATGCGCACACACACAAGTATAGACTAAGTTTGCAAGAATTGGAACACTTGATCTCATGTTTGTTTTGGAAAATTGTTTCGAATATGTACCACTTGAAAAAGTGATCGCATATAAACATTACTCAAATTATTCAAATTCAAGCAATTTAGCCTTCATCCACAGGCATTCAACCAATTTATCAGATAAGCACTTAGCCTCATAGTGAATATGGTTGACATGGCAACAACAACATTCATGCGTTATGCTAAAGTAAATAAAGGCTCACCTAGTACTCTAAGCCAAAAACAATGATAGAGTTAGAATAATGCATGATCCTAACTTATGCAATATGACTAATGCAACACATGCAATATGCAATCTAAATAGGCTTGGCTACTAGCATAGCATATGAAACAATTTGATAGCATGCGGTCTAAGCACGTATTCAGAGAAGCTTTTAAACTAACAATGCAAGTTAGAATGATGAACCGAGCCTTGGTGCATGCAATACAAATGGATGCAAACATGAAGAATGCTAATCAAAACATGATGTTCTAATCTAACCATCGTAAGCAATTAAATAAAAGGGAGAAAGACGTGGGTTGGAAGGCATACACATTATTACAACATTGCACTCTCACGAAGGAGAGTTCGAATGAATTAACTAGCTAAACTAATTAACTAGCTATTACAAAACGAAACAGATTAACTAACTATGCTAGCTAGTTATTACATCATCACAACTAATTAACTATTCTAGCTAATTATTACAAATTGGACTAATTAATTACAAAAATTAATTAATTACAAAATTCTAATTAGCTAACTAATTATTATAACAAATTAACTAACTAATTGAACTAACTATTTACATGAATACAACATGAAAAGAGTGCTAAGCTAGCTATTCTAATTACTCTGCCTTGGAAAGCGAGGAATGCTTATGCATGCACGGACTTCCATCCGAAAAGCCACTGTTTCTGCTGCTAGATGCCTCTGTTGCACAGTAGAACATTTGCATTGATTTCCACCTTAGAACCAACTCTATTCTCCTTCAAAAGTACATTGTTGGATTTTACACTAGTGGCTGGCAGATGGCCTGCCGTCCATTGATGGTGGCCTGCTAGCCACAAATAGTGGCCTACCAGCCACTGATGACTAGATTATCCTGCTGCAACAAAGAGAAAACAGAGCAGGGATACGGTATTCTCAAGGGTTTGTTTGCACAATTTACCCCTCCTTATCATTTGAACAACTCAAAGGTGTAGTACACTTGGTTCGCAAACCATTAATGGATGCAATTTCATTGCATGATGACCTATGAACCAAAGTGTGCAAGTTCAATGAATGCAACAAAACAAGACTCTTGAGCTATTTACATCACTAATGAGTATGAAACGACTCAAGACCCAAGGGTTCAATTAACATCTGATTGAACCCAAACCAAATTATTATCTTGCATCATTCTTTATTCACCAATTTTATTACTTCATTTTAGTTACCTTTCAATTCTTTAATCAATTAGGTCCACAAGTGAATTTAAGTCCTCTAATAGAAAGAGGGCTCAAACCAAGTGTTGTTTTGGGCATGAAAGAGACATCATACCGTTGGTAATGAGCCACCAGAGGGATTAAACCATTAAACAAGACACCTCATTCTCATGCTTAAACAAACAAATAATTTGAAGTCAGTTTCAAAGCAAAGAAAAATCCAAGAAATGAGGGAGGTTGCAGAGGTGATTAAAGGTGAGAACAAGTAAGAAAAGCACTAAATAAATGCAATCAACTCAAATAAGGTGGTGGCTAAGGCCTAAAACACCAAACTTATGAGGACAATAACTCTACAAGCATTCAATATAAGGCTCAAATGCAATAAACACTTAAAAACAGTCCTAAAACAATGCTAAATAAGTCCTAAAACATGCTGAAATTAAGATAAAAATTACTAGAACAATAAGCTAAAACATGGAGCATGCTAGTATGCAAAACAAAAAGAGGGGAGGCTAATCCCTCCAATTTTGGACTTCAAACCATGATTTTAGCCACTGAAATAACTCTAAAAATTAGTGTTTAAAAGCTCGAAAAAAAAAAGAAAGATAGTGAAAGTAGGAAACACAAGGGTAAAGACCTTGAAAGCAAAATATAAAGAATGGTGAACCACCCCTCAACCTTTATTGGCCTTAAAACCCAAGTTTCAGCCCAAAAATATAGTGTTTTTACAGCCCAAAAATAGTGGGAAAACAATGGGAAAAAGAGTAAATAAAGCAAGAAGAGGGGCAAAGCTTTATACCTCCTGAAGAGAAGAACCAATTCTAAGCAACAAATCAAGGCAAACACGCCCTCAAGAGCTCAAACAAGGCTTAAAGGTACCTTAGCTCAAAAATGGAGAGGTTTCGTTAAGAGTGTATAGGCAAAGGTGAAGAAATTTGCAAGAGAGAGAGAATTATAGAGAGAGGAAAAATATTGCTCCAAAATATTTCTAACCTCAAAGCAAGAGGGGACGTCCTCTATATATAGAGAAACATGAACCTCCCTCTGAAACATCCATCCATATACGTGGGAGCAGATGCATACATCTGTGCAAATAATTGGCATATCTGGCATAAAATATCTGCAAAACACATTGTCGGCCGGCAACCGGAGGCAATGACCGGCATCCAATAGTAGTGGCCGGCAGGCCACAAAAGGTTGTAGGCTTGAAAATCCAAGGTTTTGGTCCAAAAACAAGACAACAAGGGTGCAAGGTTTGAAGGCTGAAAGTTGTGGCATTCTGCTAAGGATTTTGAGCATTTGACAATCATATATACTCATCATTGGGTGTGGAAACCGTGACGTCCAAGTCGTAAGGGATGTCAAAAATAGGGTGTCTACAGAGTCGCACAAAACCTGTAATCGTTTGGCGTTAGATGAAGCGCATTACAGAGGCCAGCTGACGGCGCTTTGTATTCGGCCTCGTTATTCAATGCTTCAAACCCAATTTAACTGCCTGCTCGATTATTGCCCCTTCGGGAGTCATGATTACTATGTTGGCCCTGCTACCACGTTGGTTAGACGATCTATCACAATACATCTGCCAAATATCTTCAACATACATTCTCTAGTCTGGTTGAGGCTGGCGGGAGAGTTAGTCGAACTTGAAGTAGGCATGGCACCCTGTAAACTCGGCTACAAAGTCGGCCAACACTTGCCCCTTGATAGCCGTTCTAGGTAGAAATTGGAGATTGTATTAGCCGAGTTCTACGGCCCATTTTGATACTCGTCTTGATGCTTCTGCGCTATAGAGCACTACTCGGAGAGGAAAGTCTTTTAATATCCCTATAGTATGAGCCTGGAAGTAGTGCATCAGCTTTCTGGCAACGACCACAAGAGCCAGAATAAGTTTTTCCAGTGATAGGTATCACGTTTCAGTATCAACCATCGCTTTGCTTACGTAGTAAATTGGTCGCTATTCCCCAAGCTCCTCCTTCAACAACACGACGTTAACCGCCCTATCGGATACTGCAAGATACAAGATGAGGGGTTCGCCTAGTGATGAGGTTGCCAAAAGTGGCACCGAAAGAAGATATGTCTTCAACCCATCTAGTGCAGCCTGGCACTCAAAGGTCCACTAAAATGCTTTGCATTGCTGAAGTGTGTGAAAAAACAGTTGGCAGCGATTTGAAGAATGACTGATGAACCTATTGAGGGCAGCCGCAATTCCCATCAGCTTCTGAACATCTTTGGCCAACTGAGGTGAGCCAAGTTCTGTTATGGTCGTAATCTGCCTCAGGTTAGCCACTATTTCGTGATGGTTCACAATATAATCGAGGAACTTGTAAAATCCGATGTCGAATGCACATTTCAAGGCATTGAGCTTCATTTTGTACTATTGGAGAATGCCGAAAGTCGTGGCTAGGTCGGCTAGATGAGCATGCTTTTCCTTGGATTTTACCACCATGTCATCGATGTATACTTCCATGGTGCGGTCGTATTCTTTAATCCAAACGGCATGACCTTATAGCAATAGGTTCCCCGAGGGGTGAGGAATGCGGTCTTTTTCTAGTCCTCTGGATGCGTGGCAATTTGGTGATAACCCTTGTAAGCTTCTAAAAAGCTCATGAGTTGGGGGTGCGCGGTTGTGTCCACTAGTTGATCAATTCGAGGAAGAGAAAAACAATCCTTAGGGTAAGCCCTGTTCAAGTCCGTGAAGTCCACGAAAACGCGCCAAGACCCATTTTTCTTCTTTACAACCACGGTATTGGACAGCCAAGTGGGATAAGTAACTTCACAAATTGCCCTGACGTCCAGTACCCTGTCGACTTCATCAACAATAGTTGAAGTGTGCTCCGCAGTCAACCGTCGACTCTTTTGGATGGTCGGTTTAACTTTTGGGTCAATATTCAAGCGGTGTTGGGCCACACTCGGATCCACCCCCGGCATCTCATAGGATGTCCAAACGATTACGTCGATGTTACTAAGTAAGAAGGCTGCGAGCTCTTATCGCTCAGATACGTCCAAAGAAGTGCGAGTCATAAAAAACTTGTTGGGCTCCCCATTGATTCCGACCCAATCGAGATCCTCGGTTGCCTTATCGTTAGGACTTCAACTGAATTCACTTCCAGCTCCTTCGGTTTCTTTGCCGAAGTAGTGAGATAACATGCCTTCGCAGACCTTTGAGAGCCTCGTATTTGCTCAATGCCATGTTGTGTTAGAAAGCAGAGTAACATATTGTAGGTGCTTGGTACAACCTGCATTGCATGCAACTAGGTTCTTCCCATGATGAGATTGTATAATGACGAAAGCTTGACGACTACAAACTCCGCGTCAACTGACCTGGTTCCTGCACGTACTGACACAGTGATCTTCTCCAAAGGATACTCTGGGTTCGCATTGAAGCCGAACAGGGGATACTCCGTCGGCAACAAGTCCAATTCGGTAAAACTGAGTTTGAGAAATGTCTTGTAATACATGATCTCTGAGGTGCTTCCCTGATCAATCACAACGCGTTCGACGGTGAATCTACTGACGTGTAATTCAATGACATGGGCATCGTTATAGGGGAGCGTGACCCCTTTGAGGTCAGTGTCGTCGAAACTGATTTGTTCGGTTTTGTGACACCGTTTGGCTAATTTGAATGACTTGGATAGGCTAGGTTGTATCTGAATCGTATGCACCTGAGTTGGGGGTGGAAGACTATATATCATGTGAATCAAACCAAGCAGAGGCGAGTTCGGCTGTAGGGTTGTCGTGTTAGGTGGGTTACCCTTGCGGACATGTTGTGCCAGTCGGTCGTCCTGCACTAAGTCCTCCAGATTATCCTTCAGTGCATAACAACTGTCAGTGTAATGGCCATGGTCCTTGTGATATTCACATCGCCTATCTCTGCATCTGGTGTCAGGGGGTCCAATCATCTTGGACAACCATTTAAAGAACGGTAGATGTTGGATTTCGGGTAAGATCTTGTTGATCGGCTCCGTGCATTTCTTGTTCAATCGTCTAGGGCACTTGCCATCCACTTGATATTGCTTGTTCGAACGGTGTGAATATTGTTCACTCGATCGACGCAAATCCCGCTGATGGTCTCGCTTTGCTCAACCCCATGGTTTAGGGCTCCTTAGTGGAACAATGCTTATCGGCTAAACCATGCCAGATGGAGCCGATTTGCAAATTTTCTGTCCGGCCTTAACGCGGACGGCATCATCATCCACCTTGCAATACTCCTCAACTTTCTTTATTAGTGCTCAGACTGTTTTGGGGGGCTATCTAGTCAACGTGCTTCTGAGAGGGCTATCTGGGTGCAACCCCATTTTGAAGGCAGTGATAGCCATAGAATCACTGCAAGCATGGTCCACTAAGTTGAAACATTCCCAGTATCGTGCCGAATACTCGCGGAGGATTTCTTCTAGTTTAATTTACATTGCCTAGAGGGAGTCAGCTTGCTTTGGCTGGACCTCATTGGTGATGAATCTTGCCCTGAAGAATTTTTGAAGCTGGTGAAAACTTTTAACTGAGGCCGGCTCCAGTTTATAATACCATCTAATGGCCATTGGTCCCAGGCTGCTCAGAAACATTAGGCACATGAGTGCTTCATCATAAGCATGCAACGTCATCGCCTGTTTGTAATGACAAACATGATCTGTGGGGTCTGATTTGCCGTCATACAGAGTGAAAGTTAGTGCTTTGAACTTCTTAGGCAATGTAGCCATCGTAATGTATCATATAGAAGGATCATGTTTATCCTCATCCTCCGAACCATCATATCCTTTTCTTCGCTGGCGCTGCACATGCGAGCTTCCCTCGGATTAGCTGGATTTGTTGACTCGTCCCTTATTCCTGGGTTCTTGAGATGATGAGTCACAAGATGTACTGCTAATGTCGTGTTTCTGATGCCGACGCCATCGCCCTCGATCACCATTCACCTTCTTTGGTGACTGTTTGCGGTCGTGACGCAGTGCAGTTTGTTGGGATTTGGCCAACTCAATGGCCAACTCCTTTCATAGGTGTTCGTTTTTAGCCGTGTAGACACCCCATTTCTGTCCATCCACAAGACTTGGACGTCATTGTTTGAACACTCGATGATCATCCATGCTCGTGTTTGTTTTGAGTTTCTGAAGGTCTCGGCTGTGCGCCTTGTGTTTGTTTTGAGTTTCTGAAGGTCTCGGCTGCGCGCCTTGCCTTGGAGCCTCTCAACTTGTTTGTTTTGTGCTTGGTTATGGACCAAGAGCTTGTGGTTTTGTTTCCAAGGGAAGGGGGTGGCCTTTTGGCTAGCCCTCCAACCCATCGGCCAGGCCCTATGCTTATCGGCCTTTCCTTCTTTCCATAAGTTATTAGTGTTGCCCGATCGGCACCCTTTTTGGCCGATTAGCCATTTTTTTGGCCGAGACCCCTTTTTCTGCTTTTGCAAATATTTTTCTTCCAGCTGGTGCTAGCTGTTGGTCACTTGGTGTATCCTCCATACATGTGTATGGATGGATTTTAACAAGCTCCTAGCTTGTTCAACAAGCTTGGGACTTAATTTTCTATAAGAAGGGAGGCCCCTCTCCCTTTCCAAAGGTTTTGAAAATTGATATACAAGATATATATCTCTCTATATTTCTCCCTTTCTCTCTATACTTGTGCTTGTTTGTGCTCAAAAGTGTAGTTTCTTCACACTTTTGCATACAAACACCTAGTGAAACACCTTAATTACTGAGCTGAGGTTCTTGGAGGTTGCATTTGGGTGGCTTAAGCTTGGTTTTTGCCTCTGAAGTTACTGTTTCAAAGAGGTTCTTCAAGGGTGAGTCCCTTACCTCTTTAAAGGTTCGTGTTCATAGCTTATTTAGCCAACTTTGCATATTGTTTTAGGCCTTGCTTTCAACTGAAAAAATTCTTGTTTTGAAGTGTTTAACATGTTTGTTTAAGGCCTCTTTGGTGTTGGGGGTGGTCTACTCCCTTGCATGCCTTATTTGCTAGGCTTTTGAGCCATCTCTTTAGGCCTTTGTTTTAGCCTTTATTTGGCCTCTTCACCACAGAATTCCAGAGGAATTTTAGTGGTGAAATGTGTGTTTTGAGGCCTTAAATAGGAGGGGGTTGTCCCCCATCCCCTTCTCTTGAGTGCTTGTGTTGATGGCTCATCAAGTTGGCATGCTTTTCTATCTCTTTGTGGCTCCATTTCAGCATGTCATAAGCCTTGTTTTTCCATGATGTAACACTATTTTGGCTTGGTTTGATAATATCAGGCATGCTTCTTGCACTTGTAGTGCAAATCCTCTCACTAGCCTAATATGCATCATGCTTTTGACCATCATTCTAGCATGCTTTTGGCTCCACTCCAGCAAGATTTTAATCATGTTTTAGCATGGTCAAGCTCTGTTTTATGTTGTCTTGGTCTTGTATGCCTTTCTTTGTATAGCTATAGTGCATTCTAGCTCTCTAGCTTTGAGTTTCCAAGTCACTAGCATGCATTGCTTGGGCTATTTGCATGACTTGACATCATTTGATATGTGATTTCAGTGTATGTAGTATGGCCATACACTCACATGTGTCACTCTTTCAATGCTTTGGAGGGGTTGTGCTTTATGTCTTAAATATGAGCCTATATGCATGCCTTATGGCCTAAGCCTTTGAGCTGCCATATCAGTGCATTTTTGGTGTTATTTTGACGTGCCATGACTCTGATTTTAGTTGGTGAGGTCATCCCATTCTTGGTTTTTTCTACTTTGGCTTCGGGGGGGGGGGGGGGGGTGTAGTGTAATCCTCTTTGTTGGCCTAGTATGCTCCATGCTTCATGCCTATAATTCTAGCTTGTGTTGGCTATGTTCAAGCATGTTTTTGGCACTGTTGTGACCTGCCTCGGGACTGTTTTGAGTCACCTTGCCCCTTTGGGGCATACTTGATATGACCATGGTGTAATTCCCTTGGCAAACTTTAAGCTTTGAGCCGAATAACATGTTTTATTTGTCATATGTGCATGATTTAACATCCTTTGGAATGTAATTTAAGAGCTTACTTCGTTGCTACACTCTCACATTTGTCATTTCTTCATCATGCTTGAGAGTTGTGCTATTATGCTTAGTTCATGGGCCAATGTATGAGCATGCATTTTCTTGATTTTTATGCCATCATTTCAGTATTTTGGCCACTGTTTTGGACCCTCTTAGGTCTGTCCATATGTGGTTTAAGTCCATTAAGTGTTTCATTACATAGCCCTTGTCATTGCATTGTTGTTTGCATGTTGTTACATGACATTGTTGTTTGCATGTGGTTGCATGCTCATGTTGCCTGCATGGTGCATGTTGCATTATCTTTGCATGTTTGTTGTCTTGCATTGTGTTTGGATCGGATGTTGATCCAAACACGGGGAACGAGGGGCATTTCATACTTGAAGTGATGAAACGCGCCTCATCCCTTAGCTCACCGACACCTTTGATCATGTATAATAAGGTGGAGGTTCATCGAGTCTTATGTGGTATTTGTGTGCATTCATTGTCATTGATTTGTGCAACTCGGCCTTTTTGGCCATCTTGCATTGAAATGTGTGATTGATGACTCGAGAGCCGAGCACTACACTCCTTTGAGCTCTAGACATGATAAGCAGTGTGGTTGCACACACATTTTCTTGCAAATACACTGCCATGCCTCTGTTAGTGCTCTGTTGCAGCAAAGGGAGAATTTGCAGGAAGCAGTGGCCGATCGACCACTTTGTTTGCCGATTGGCTATAAAAATTGGTCAATAGCCATAAACTCTAGCCGATGGTCACTCCTCTTGGCCGACCACTTCTCAACATGACCACGAGGTGGATCAGAAGTATCTCGGAGGTTAGCACAATTTTCAGAAGTCTAAAACAGTGCAAACAGAGGCATCATGAGGCACGGTAATGGATTTTTGGGAGGACGCGACCGAGCATGCATCATTCATCATTCCGAGGCAGAGCCGTTGTAGCCTATTTCAGTTTCTTACTTAGCTAGTTTTGTAAATTAATTAATTTGATTAATTAGTTAAAGTTTTGTAATAATCAATTAGCTTAGATTAGCAAGTTAGCTTATTATTCGGACCCTCCGTCGAGAGGGCACATTGTTATAATAAGTGTGCGTGTGTGTGATGAATGTCTTCCATCCCCTGTTTCTTTCTGTCTTTTACTTATCTACTTTCAGTGGTTAGTTTTAGGGCATATTTAAATTTGCATCCTTATGCTTCGCATGTTTGCATTCATTCATCTATTTTGCATGCACCGGGCTCGGCGCATCATACAAACTGCATTGTATTTCAATTCCAATTTGAATGCATGTTATCTAGTTGCGTTCACATGACATCTTAGAATAGCCGAGCCTATTTTAGTTGCATTTTGCATGTGTCGCATTAGTCATCTTGTATAATTAGGATCATGCATTGATTTCTAATTGGTTTCTGTTTTGGCTCAAGTACTAGGTAAGCTTTCACACTTTAGCATACTGGATGAGATGTGTATGTTGCCACGTATAGCATGCTTGCCATGAGGCTAACTACTTAAGTGTTTAACTGCATGAATGCCCGTGGATGAAGACTTCATTGCTTGAATTGGAACAATTCATTGAAATGTGCGTTTTAAGCCCACTTGTAGTGGCAAATCACCATGTTTTCTAAGCCTACTTGAGGGTGGCAAAATCCGCGTCTTACCCTACTTGCGAATAGCAACTTCAAACCATTTTCAAAGAAACAAACATGAGATGTTTTGTTCCAACTTAAGTGATTTGGTCTATACTCGTATGCTGTGCGCATCACATAGTAAGCTAGCTAATAAACCGGAATAAGAACACATATGTTTTCAAAAATAACATATCATGTTAGTAAAGGCCGATCCTTTGATCGGGCGAGCGGGGGTGCTCATTGCATGACCATCCCCTCTCGTACCCAATTTCCTGAGCCGAGGCAACTTTGGTGATGACGGACACG